CAAAGGAAATAGTGTTGCTAATGGATAATGTGGGCCAGGAAGACCATGTCTGCATCCTAGGGGATTGGGGATGGTGGTGGGGCTCTTGATGCTTCCATGTCCAGTAGTAAAAGTCAATGGAAGATTATAGCAACCCAAGAAAAATGAGAACTAAGGGCTAAGGGCTCAGATCCTTCTGAGGGTACAGAGCCCTAATCAGCTGAGATGATGGCGGAGAATAGAAATAACATAGAATAGGTAGTGAAAGACATAGCTACAAATATCAATTATGGCCTCTGACCAATGATAGTAAATGGTAGTAAATATGCGTTCTTTTGTTTTTGTTTGTATTTATGTATATTAATCAATTTTTGTTTTCTTAGTCACTCTTTCTCCTAGATATATTAGATAAGGAAAGTATGGTAATTAACCTCATCACCTTTAGGTATAGACTAGACCACGGGTCGGCAAACTGCAGCTCCTGAGCCATATGCAGCTCCTTGGATACTTTCCGTCTCAAAAGTTTGCCGATCCCTGGAAGAGCCAATCCTGTCCCTCGAAGTTTTGCAAGACCTATAAAACAAATGAAATCACCATTATGTGTATAATATCCTTTAAAAATTTTATAAATGAAACTATGATAGTTTTATTTTCATTTTCAGTTTTACTTCAGAGCCACATGTATGTACCCAAAGAGCCACATGTGGCTCGCGAGCCGCAGTTGCCGACCCCTGGCGGCTCTTCCATCTCAAAAGTTTGCCGACCCCTGAACTAGACTACCCAGGACTGTGACTGAAATAGAAGAGGAGTTAACATCATGCAGAATTATATAAAGTGATTGATTAGAATTTTTTTGTCTGCCCTTATAGGAAACAGGATGAAAACGTGTATGAAGGAAAATTACATATGTTAAGCAGAAACATAATGTTGTTATTGTCATTTGGAACATTAGATAAAGGTGTCCACTGAAAACTGCTAAGCGATTTTCTTGATTACTTCAAGTATTCATGTTTCTTATTGAAACATTTTGTCATTCTTTCCTCTCATTCTTATTTTTTCCTTTCTTCTGCCTTTCTCTGAAAATCCCATAGCAGAATCCATTGATTCTTTTGAAATAAGGAAAAGGCTTGTTTGAATTTATGAAAATATTAAAATGTTAAATTTTGACAATATCATGTTATGACTTTCTAAGGAAGATTGCTATCAAAGTAATTCCAAATGTAATATTTGATATCAGTTGGAAATTAGTAATGCCCACCATATTCAAACACTAAAAATCTGATATCTTCAAAAACAGTTTTTTAGATGAAACAAGAGTCAACCTCTGTCTTGAGCAGGTTGAATAATCACAATTTCTTAATCAGCAAAATTTGAAATCTTAAACTCTCAAACTCATTGTTAAATAATAAACCTAGGAGCATTGGATATTTATCATCATGCATGTAGGAAAAGAGAAAGGGGCCAATGAATATCAACCAATGGTCAGTGGTGCCAATTCAATGCCAACAGGAATCCCCAATTTGGGCTATGGTGAAGAAGGAAACTTTATTCAGTGCAAACAGGTCAATAGTGATACATCACAGCTGTGGAACACTCAGTAGTGTTACAGCTCAATAATGAAGCAGCACAGTATGAAACAGTATAGCGGTGAGGAGGTCCTGGGAGGGGAGTTGACCCTGGGGGAAGCCTCTTTCTGGTTAGACAGCTCTACTCTGCTCTGGTCTGCTCCACCTGGTCCAGTCTGCTCAGTTCTGCTGCTCTGTGCTCCTGGTGAGACGTCTTTGATGTTTCAGCTCCAGCCTGGAAAAGGCAGTCTTCAGTGAAAGGGAAAATGCACTCCAGGAGTCAGAGGGGAGCTGACTTATACAGACAAAAGTCCCTGCCCCTGGTCCCTGATTGGTCCATCCTCATGCAAATGAGGACTCCAAATCATTGCAGTTTGATTTTTCCAAAAAGCACTGTCCTGATTGATTGGAATGGAGCTGTTCTGATTGGTTGGTGAAGATGCTAACAGGGATATAACTGTGCAGCTTGATTGGATTGGGAAAGTCTCAGTTCTATCAGTTGGAATACAATTCCAGGAGCTCCTTTGTAAGGGCTGGCTCGTGTGGAAGGAACATAGTGCAGGCAGGCAGCTCAGGGTACACCTGAAGTGTGGTTTGCGTGAGAGGCCCCTGTGTAGAAATGGCTGCTAGTTTCTGTTTTTAAATTTGAGCCCAGTTAGCCACCAGGAGTCCTTCTCAGGAGATATCTTCTTTCTCAGCATCTATAAGATTTAGCATATAAATCTTCAAAGCATCTATTAAGAATATGGAGACATTAATTATAAGACTGTCCTCCAGAGCCACAAACTATCAACTAAGATAACCATGTAGAAATAATGTCCTTTTTGTAGGCTGTTTTTCAGAACAGGACAACAATTTCTAAAGTTATCTGTGTTCAAATAACACTTGCAAGGAAAATATTGATTTATTCACAAACACAGCAAGTTGGTGAGTGTTATAAATAGTCATGCCCCTCTCCAGTTTGCAGCAGAGGGTGGGATCTTGTAGCCACTCTCAACTTACTATCTTATCAAATCAGATTATTTTAAATTGTTTATTATTATAATAGATTGTTTAAATAGTTTAGATTATTGAAAGTAAGTTATTTTAAGCAATTTATCATGCAGTACATTCTCTCTAACTTTTACATCTTCAGATTTTTCCGAGACTCCCTTTGTTAATTCTTAAACCTTTCGGTGTTTAAGGCCTGGCTCTGAAATGCCACTACTCAGCATCATCCGCAGAGAACAGACCTACAGAGTGCCTTTTTGCTTGCAGAAATAGGGCACAGACTGAATACGAATTTTACATAATAAAAAATAAATTAAAATGAAGAATGTGTGGCATTTTTCTTCTCTGAAACTAATTAGGCTATCCTGTATTTAGCTTTCTTTGGGAAAACATTCAAGGTACTAATAGCCTCTTACACTTCTTAAAACAACCACTTTCCCATCTATACTTTTGTGTAATTGTCACAACAGCTCTGTGAAGCAGGCATTAATTTCCATTTTGCCCATCAAGAACCTGAGGCTCAGAGGCCCAATCTCACACAGCTTTAGTGACAGAGTGAGGACTGGAAGCCTGGCTTTCTCAGGCTTAGATGATGGTGGTGATATCAATAGTAATAACAACAACTAATATTTACTGGGTACATACTATGTACCAAGCACTGTTCTGTGATGAGTATAGTTTAATCCTCCTAATAGTCCAATGACGTACTTACTGAGACTAGCTCTATCTCACACTGATGCATCAGACCTTTCAGGCCAGAAAATGTTTGTTTATACTTTGAAAAATAAAAAGGTTTACATTTCTAAAAACCTTGCATTCTGAGACAGGCCACAGATATAGAAGCTTCCAGGAAGACTTGAAGTACAAATACCAAAAGCTTGTCATCTTTAAATAAACCATGTCATTTTTTATTAATAAAAGACAGAAATTTCTGTTTTTCATAAAAAAGAATACAATATCCAGCCAGAATCGACAGCTTGTATATAATAATCTGAACTAAAAGCACCCTCTTTTTTCATCTGCTAGTCAGTTGTCCTGAAAGCCAGACTTCTTTGTATGTTTTACACAGGAAGTAACAACTTTCACTCAGTGCTCAAAGCTTGTACATAAGACATTTTCTTTGACAGTACCATCACCATCACCATATTCTGGAAATTAGGACACCAAAAAGTTCTGTAACTTGCCTGAGGTAACCCATCTGGGGTAGGGAACCAGGCAGTCTGTCCCCTAATTCCTGCTATATCCCAGTCATCACATGACTAGTAAGCCTTGGTTGGCTGAAAAAGTTGTTTGTTCCACATAATTTACTAGCCTGTACTTTTTTTTTCTAGCTCTGTCCTAGCTAATGGCAATACAGAAGATAAAAAATGCAGCACTGCCCATGTGAGTTTAAAGTTTTTGGGAGGATTGGACAATTAGACAGTGATAGGGTAGGGACATATTAGAGGGGTGCACAGAAGACTGTGGAAGTCCAGATACAGGGCACCTCACCTGACCTTAGAAGTCAGAGAAAGCTTCCCAGAGGTGGGATATTGGAGCCAAGTCTTGAAAAAGAAGTAGGATTATCCACATGGGGAAAGGGAAGGAAGGAAGGATTGACCTGTTAAAACTGTTCCAGTTATATACTGCTGTATGAGTATAATGAATCACCCAAAACTTTGTGGCTTAAACCAACAAGAATCATTTTATTACATTATCTCATGGTTATGGGAGTTGTGTATGGTTCTCTTTCAGGATCTCTCATATGGTTACAGGGAGATGGCTGGCACTAAATTTATCTTGAAAGTTTGCTCATTGAAATGTCTGACAGTTGACACTGGCTGCTGGCTGGAGCCTCAGTTGGGGCTGTTGGAATTCCTCATGTTGCCTCTTCATATGCTGCAGCTGGATTGCAAAAGTGAGCATATCAAAGGAACTAGGAGTAAGCTATCTCACCTTGACTTGGAAGTGACATGGCCTCATTTCACCATAGTCACAAACCCTCCCAGATTTGAAGGGAGAGATTCCACTTCTCAATGGGAGGAAACATCAAAGTCACCTCATAAGAAGAGAATGTGGAATGAGAGATATTATTGTGGCCATTTTGGAAAATACCATGTGCCACAATGGCCTGTAAAGGCATAAGTACCAAAGAAATTATGCTTTCTCTTCTCCCACCACTCAAATTACTCAAATACAACAACTCCAGACCATAAAATATGTGCGATGCAGCTCAATAAAGTATAGACTTCCCCATAATACTTTTTCTTTCTTTCTTTCTTTCTTTCTTTCTTTCTTTGTTTCTTTCTTTCTTTCTTTCTTTCTTTCTTTTTTTTGAGGAGTGGCATTAATCATCAAATACCTTAGAGATATATATTTTTTCCTCACTATTTTTTGGGGGGGAGGATAACCCTGCTTTTCTGGTGCTCAGTGCATGAGCTCAAGCCATATATTCAGTGCTCCAGCCTGGGAGAAAATCGTTCCAGGAAGAAGGAGCGGCATATGAACAGACATTGTGCCTCGTTGTTGTCACCACCAAGCTACGGACATCTCATTGGCCCCTCCAGTCTGTAAAGGACACTGGGAAATATAGTCTTGTTGGGGCACAGTGACATGAAAATCAGTACTTTTATACCAACGTTGCTGGAGAGGATCAATATTTATTCCTGTTACAATGACAAAAGAGGATTTTACAGGAAGGAAAGAGTAGGGATTCAGGGAACAAGAACTAATGGGCAGCTTCACAGGATGGATGCTAGAAAGCATAGCCAATCCCTCCCCCCCACCACCACACACACACACACACACACACACACACACACACACACACACTCCCTTTCTTTTTTTCCTTTTGGCCTTAACATGTCTTCTGGCAAAAGACCTAGAGACTGAGCCTAACTGACCCAGACGCAATACATATGCCCACCTCTTGATTGACAGCCTTACCAATCTCTGGACTGAAGGACCCGCCAACTAAAGGGTGGACTGATGCACGCATGCACACATGGTGGGGAAAGGGAAGGAGAAATTCCTTGGGAGTAAATCTGGGGAAAACACCACCCAGACCCAAACCAAAAACACCCATTTGTCTCTTGCAATGCACTTCTCAAAGCTTCAGGAGGCAATTTTAGAGTTACTGTTTCAGGACCAGCTGGTTGGGAGGAGTTGCCACCCATAATGGAAGCAGAATTTGCATCTCTCCTCTTTCAATTTTAGGTGAAAAAGGAGAAAGTGAGTAACTCATCAGGATCAAAATTTGACATCTGATCCTCCTGTTCCATTTCACACAGAGCCAGAAACCTAGGGAGAGGAAAGAAAATTAAAATGTAAATGAATTTCAAGCAACAAGAATTATCCTGTCTCCAGTTAAGATGTTTGCTACAATCTGTCTGCATTCAATAATACACTAGTTGACATTTGAACCCCATAGCACTTTACAACCTCAAAATAACTCTTAAGTATCATCCAGATTCACTTTATTGATAAGTACCTGTTAAAGAACAAAAATTCAACCAAGTAAATTTAAAGATCTAATTGGCTTTATTAAACGATTCATAAGTTAGGCAACATCCCATCTAGTAAATAGAAAGTAGCTCTGAGGAGTTGTACAAAATGGAAGGTTTTTATAGGCAGATAGAGGGTGAGACAAGGAAATTAAAAGAGTAGATTGTACTTGGCAAGGCTACCCCACTTTAAGGAAAGGCAGGGAGTCTTATGAAACAGATTACATCACTAGTACTGACCCAGGAAATTCCAGACTGATTGATTTTAAAATTCCACTCGTGGAAGAGGTTGAAACCCCAACCCAGCTAGGTAGTAAGTCTTGGTGGGGCTTAGCACAAGTGACTCCATTTTGGGCCTATTGTTTCTTTTTAACAACTATTCCCTCCTTTTGGTCAAACCCTCAGCCTTACTGTGAGATGTGATCAAAATTTAAGGCATTAGTGGGCTGACCATGTGGCACAGTTGGTTAAGAGCGCGAACTCTGAGCAACAGAGTCACCAGTTCGATTCCCACATGGGCCAATGAGCTGTGCCTGAGCTGAGCTTCCGCTGAGTTGCTGACAGGCAGCTGGATGGCTCAGCTGGTGAGAGCTAGTGATCTTAACAACAAGGTTGCTGGTTCGACTCCCGCATGGGATGGTGGGCTGCACCCCCTCATACCCCCCCGCAAAGAAGACTGAACATGGAACCTTGAGCTGAGCAGGTGCTCAGCTGGTGAGAACACATGCTCTTAACAACGAGGTTGCCAGTTCAGCTCCCACATGGGATGGTGGGCTGTGCCCACCCACCACCCACCCCCACCTGCAACTAGATTGAAAGCAGCGACTGGACTTGGAGCTGAGCTTGTGACCTCCACAACTAACAGTGAAGGACAACGTGACTTGGAGTTGATGGATCCTGGAAAAACACAGGCTCCCCTTCCCCAATTCCCCAACACTGTTCCCTTCCCCAATTCTCCAATAAAAATCTTAAAAAAACAAATTTAAGGCATTAGTGCCACTCTCAGCTACTGCTCTGCAGTTCTTGCAGCTTTCATTGATTTTCTGTGTAATATTCAAAGGTCATGATGTTTTTGTTTAATTCCTGTGATACTCACAGGTCATAGCTTCAGGATCATAATCTTTAAGTCAGTCATTCTCGTTACTCCTTTTCTGACATTCCAGTCTTAGGGAGATCATTTACTTGGTGGTTATCAGCTGTGAACAGGCATTTTAAACTGTTGAGAAAATACAACATACCAGGGAGATTATTATGTTAAATATAAGCAGAAAAATTCCCAATATTTGGAGGGAAATTTGGAGCTATAGTCCTCGAGGCCCAAACCAATCAAAGAAAGACCCTGTTGAAGAAGGAGTTACCCTTTTAAACCAAGTGGCTTTCTCAGTGATCTCATGTAACTGAGTTTTAGCTTCCCCAAAGGTGTTAAACCAGGTGAAGCCGGTAGTGCTGACCACAGCACAGACCCTCCTAGCTCAGCTAAAGGATGATCAACAGCTATCCTATTATCAAGAACAACTTTGGCCAGAGTCTATGGATTTTTGTTGGACAGCTATTGCTTTAATAGCAGATTCTTGCAATATTTTCAAGAACTAAGGAAAGGTTCCTGATTATAGCTTCATCTGTACTTATTCCTGACTAGGAAAATAGGGAATACCACTTGGTAGGTCCTTCCTAGAACCGTTTGGGACATGGTTAGATAACCTAAAGGTATTGTCTGGTTATGCACTAGCCATCTAGGCATTCATAGGCCCAAGGAGAATGATAATCACCATAGACAAAGATAAGTTCTGTCAAGTACAAACCACTTCCACTAAGGCAGTACTGTTAATGTGTTCATGTGCAGGGATTTTGCATTTACCAGTTCAAGCCAAGGTTCAGTTAGGTGTTCTCCTAGCCTGAAATAAAAGTTGTTTTAAGTCCCAGAGGCTACCCCTCCTTTAGCAATGGCCTAAGAGATACAAGTGATGGTGTTGTCTTTCCAGGCCAATGTCAGAGGAAAGAAAGAGAGAGAGAGAGAGAGAGAGAGAGAGAGAGAGAGAGAGAGAGAGAGAGAGA